AAAAACAATAGCTTGCATTTACCATCTCTACATTTCATTCTTTACATACGATTACACACCTAATGTCATTATGTCACAGAATGTGTGTCCCTTTTTGACATGAACTCAGTGGAGTCATAAAGGACAGCCAGATTTTGTTGGCTATGTTCAAAAGAATACACAGAAAAAACAAGACAGTTGAAATAGAGCTCCATCTGAGAAGAACACAGCAGTTTTTCTGTTAACATCACTGGCGCCTGTATACCTAAAACCAACATCAAGGAATTCATCCTGTTCTGTTATTTGCTGTTTACTACAGTGAAATCTAAAAGTAGGTTAGTTCTTCATAAACACCATTTCAAATTAGAAGTTTTGATGTTGGTATTATGTAAAAGTCTTCCCTACTCCTGGGTGGGAGACCTGCTGAGCAGGCCCTTAGTTGCTCTACTCTTAGAGCCAGCTTTGCAGGTGAGAAGAAAATTAATTAGTCTATTAAGCCGCTGCTTTCTCTGTCCCTAACGATTTAGCAATTCTTAAAATATCAGAGTATGCTGAATGCATCTCTAATTCATCACATGCTGATATATTCGCATGTCCTAAAGGTATAGTGGAGGATGTTCTTTTTCTGGTTGGATTATTAAAATAATTTGTCCTCCTAATTGTCAATCATTCTGGTGATATGTTTACATAAGGCCGTCCTACGTGCTCATCCTCATTTTCACTTACCGGGGGTGAGTCTGACATTGTGGAAAAATAGCCCATCTTCTTTTGGAAAGTAAGCTTGTATGAGCGATGCATACAGAAGCTTTTAAACAGGGCGTGCATGAGGAGAAACAGGCTTGGCATGCTCCCGCACGTGTATAAAATCCTCCATTATACCTTAACATATTTAAAGATCAGTATAAATAGAGGCTAAACTTTTACAATAGGTGGTAATATCAGGCTCAGTCCAAGGCTCTAGGCTCAACGAAGCCTGCTAGCAATCACAACACTAATGACCAGTGGTAAGGATGTTTAAATCATGCTCCAGCCTCCTGAACCCTCAGAAGATACTGTCTTGCAATTGAAAGTTTAGATCACTTCATAATCCAGAGAGGAGTTCTAATAGGCTGCTTCTTGTTCTGAAAAGAATGGTGTCTCTGAAAGAATGTTGATTGTTTCCTAACACTTTTTTATCTCATTATTTCAAATAAGGTCTAGGATGGTTCAGAGTTTAGAGAGGGAACATATAGTCATGAAATCAATTATGTATTTAAGGTGATGCCAAGGACAGCAGCATGCATCCAGTAGATAATATAAAATCCCTGTTATTTTTTCGAGACAGTGAGAGTCATATATAG